CCCAGGGCAACTAAGTGAGACGCTGTCTCCGAAAAAAAAAAAAAAAAAGATACAAAGCAAATATGATAAAAATTTTATGTTTGTTAATCTAAAAGACAAGAGGGCTTAGTGCCTGTAGCTCAGTGGTTAGGGCGCCAGCCACATACACCAGGGCCTGCTAAACAATAATGATAACTACAACAACAACAACAACAACAAAAGAAAAAAAAACAGCTGGACATTGTGGCAGGTGCCTATAGTCCCAGGTACTTGGGAGGCTGAGGCAAGAGAATCGCTTAAGCCCAAGAGTTTTAGGTTGCTGAGAGCTGTGACACCACAGTACTCTACTGAGAGCAACATGAGACTCTAGCTCAAAAAAAAATCTAAAAGACAAGTAAAAGATAGAATGTTATTCTTTGTACTTTTCTGTATGTTTCTGTATTTACGTTATCTTTGTACATTTCTGTATGGTTGATATATTTTAAAATAAAGAAAAAACATTGTATAGCACTCTGAAGTACATATGATACATCACTATACATGGATATAATATTTGATTAATACTCGATGCTGTCCAATTTTAACTTACCAGTGCATCATCTTGCAAGGAAGCAAAAAAGAAGCCATAGAGCAAGTTAATTTGCTCCTTGTGATCAATAAAGTCAAACATTGCAACCAGCCAACGATAAAAAAGTATCTATCAAGAGAAAACAATGTTTATCTTTAGAGAAATATAAATGGTACAAAAGAGCTTAATTCACCCCTCAGGGCAGTTTTAGAAGCTTCTAGCACAATGTAACATAATGGATTTTATTTCTCAGTAAAAATCTGTTTGACCAGAGTCCTTGCATCAAGCTATATTGTTCCAAAACTACAGGCTTTACACAAAAGGCCACTGCCCATTACTCCGTAAGTGGCTCTTCCTTGCCAGCCCTTAAGTGGTTCTGAAGGACTTATCATCAAAGTGTTTAAAAAGATTACCTTGGTACTACCAGAACACTTGCCAACGCAAAGCCAGGATACTGCCTTAACCACAGAATCTTCTGATATTAGAGTTGTTGGAATCATGCACTTCAACAGTCGTGTGTTTACAGCATTTCCTAGAAAGCAGATAAACTCTAAATTAAACTACATTTTAGTGTCTCAATGGTTCCTTTATTATTATTCATCCTTGAACCTAAAAATCTCTCTTTATATTAAAGGCAATAAAACAGCAGTATATAGTATTCAGTATCTCTTATCATCAATAAAAAAACTGTTCAAAATAAAAAAGTACCTTTAACTTCTAACTATAAAGCAAATTATTTGGCCCAAATATTTCTATTTAAAAAGAAAAGATGAATACACAGTTTCTTCTGAGGGTGAGGAAAATGTTCAAAAATTAGAGGTGAGCCAGGCAAGGTGGCTCACAACAATAATCCTAGCACTCTGGGAGCCCAAGGCAGGAGGATACCTTGAGCTCAGGAGTTCAAGACCAACCTGACCAAGAACGAGACCCCATCTCTACCAAACATAGAAAAAGATTAGCCAGGCATCATGGCAGGCACAGAGGCTGAAGCAAGTGGATTCCTTGAGTCCAGGAGTTTAAGGTTGCTGTGAGCTATGACACTACAGCACTCTAGCCTGGGCAACACAGTGAGACTCTGTCTCAAAAAAAAAAAAAAAGAATTAGAGTGGTAATAACTGCACAATTCTGAATATGCCAAAAAAAATTGAATTTTTAGGATGGGTGCAATGGCTCACGTCGGTAATTCTAGCACTCTGGGGAGGCCAAGGTGGGTGGACTGCTTTCAAGCTCAGGAGTTTGAGACCAGCCTGAACAAGAGTGAGACCCCCATCTCTATTAAAAATAGAAAAACCAGCTAGGTGTTATGGTGCGCACCTATAGTCCCAGCTACTCAGGAGGCTGAGGCAGGAGGATACTTGAGCCCAGAAGATTGAGGTGCCGTGAGCTGACACTACAGCACTCTACTCAGGGCAACAGAGTGAGACTGTTCCAAAAAAAATGAATTTTTAAAAGGATTAATTTTATGATATGTAAATTATACCTCAAAAAACACCTTTCAATCACAGGAATATTTCAAAGATTATTATTTTTTTTCTGAGACAGAGCCTCAAGCCGTCGTCCTGGGTAGAGTACTGTAGCATCACAGCTCACAGCAACCTCTAACTCCTGGGCTTAAGCAATTCTCTTGCCTTAGTCTCCCAAGTAGCTGAGACTACAGGTGCCCACCACAATGCCTAGCTATTTTTTTTTTTTGGTTGCAGTCATCATTATTGTTTGGCAGGCCCAGACTGGATTCGAACCCGCCAGTTCAGGTGTACATGCCTGGTGCCTTAGCCATTGAGCCAAAGATTACTATTTTTTTTTTTTTTTTTTT